GCTGGGAAAACTGGACAGCCACATGCAAAAGAATGAAAGCAGACCATTATCTTACACCATACACAAAAATTAACTCAAAATGGATTAAAGACTTGTAAAACCTGAAACCATAAAACTTCTAGAAGAAAACACAGGCAGTATACTCTTCGACATTGGTCTTAGCAGTATCTTTTTGAATACCATGTCTCATGAGGCAAGAGAAACAAAAGAAAAAATAAACAAATGAGACTACATCAAACTAAAAAGCTTCTGTGCGGCAAAGGAAACGATCAACAAAACAAAAAGACAAACTAACAATTGGGAGAAGGTATTTGCAAATCACATATCTGATAAGGTGTTAATATTCAAAATATATAAAGAAGCCACACAACTTAACAACAAAAAAACAACCCTCGGGGCTGGCCCCGTGGCCTAGTGGTTAAGTGCAGCAACCTCCGCTTCAGCAACTTAGGGTTTGGTACCTGCGTGCGGACCTACACCACTCATTGGCAACCATGCTGTGGTGGTGACCCACATACAAAATAGAGAAAGATTGGCAACAGATGTTAGCTCAGGGGGAATCTTCGTCAGCAAACAAACAACCCAATTAAAAAATGGGAAAAAGATCTGAACAGACGTTTTTCCAAATAAGACATATAGATGGCCAACAGGCACATGAAAAGATGCTCAACATCACTAACTATTAGGGAAATGCAAATCAAAACTATGAGTTATCACCTGACGCTCGTCAGAATGGCTATAATTAACAAGACAAGAAATAACAAGTGTTGGAGAGGATCTGGAGAAAAGGGAACCCTCATACACTGCTCGTGGGAATATAAACTGGTGTAGATACTACGGAAAACAGTATGGAGATTCCTCAAAAAATTAAGAATAGAACTACCACACGATCCAGCTATTCCACTTCTGGGTATTTATCCAAAGAACACAAAAACACAAACGCAAAAAGATATTTGCACTCCCTATGTTCACTGAATATAGCTAAGACTTGGAAACAACTTAAGTGTCCATCAGTGGATGAATGGATAAAGAAGTTGTATATATACACAATGGAATACTACTCAGCCATAAAAAAAAAAAAGATGAAATCTTGTCATTTGCCACAACATGCATGGACCTTGAGTGTATCATGCTAAGTGAAATAAGTCAGATGGAGAAAGTCAAATACGGTATGATTTTACTCAGAAGTAGAAGATAAACAAACAGACAGATACAGAGATTAGATTGGTTATTACCAGAGGGGAAGGGGGGAGGGAGGAGGGCGAAAGGGGAATAGGGCACATGTGTATGGTGATGGATAGTAATTAGTGTTTGGGTGGTGAACATGATGTAGTCTACACAGAAATTAAAATATAATGATGTATATGTGAAATTTATATAATGTTATAAACCAATGTTACCTCAATAAATAAAATTTAAAAAAAGACAATTATTAATTCCAGTGAAAAGAGTTATACAGGAAAGGAATGGTAATCATAGTCCACTAGGAGATTCAGCAGGAATAATGTTTTCTTACATAATAATACAAAAACTAATATTACTATAACTAATATATCGCCAAAACTTACTGCTATTTTGGAAGAATGGGAGATGAGAATAATGCAAGTATTTGGAGAGAAGGGCATGCAGGGGACGAAAGAGAGCTAAATTTTTACTTTCCGTAGTACATAATGCCTGAAATGGAGGAAAAAAAATCAAGAATTAGCGATATCAACATGTTACTTAGAAATATATCAAATGAATCACTAAAAGTGGTTGCCTCTGGGACCTTGAAATGGCATAGAAGGATCCCTCAGGGAATTGCTTGATTTTTTTTGTAACAAGTTTAGCTCACCTATTTGAGTATTTAAGTTTTGAAAAAATGTAAACTAAATTCAAAACAAAACAAACAAAACACAGCTGATACATGGCTGCGCCAGAACTTGAACCCATGTAATTTAATTTCTAATCAGGTCCATTAATTTGTGAGCTCCTAAGGGGCCTGTGTCTTCCTAGTTCCTCTACTCCAACGCTTGCCTAGCACAAAGAGTAAGCCCTCAAACATGTTTCTGAATGAGTGGGAGAAAGTTAGAGTGGGATTACTTTCATAACACAAGAAAATGAATGAGAAGGGCATTCCAGGTAGAGGAAATAGCCAAAGCAAAGATAAAAAATGGAGTGTGAGAGCTGAGCAGGGAAGGGGGGAGGTGAGAGGAGGAGGAATAATAAGCAGCATCCAGAAAACCCACCTGGTGGATGAAGGGAAATACAGTGAGCACGGTCATTTGGAGCTGTGTGGCAGGGGAGTGGGAGGACACTGGTACCTTGTGGACAGATCCATGTGGCCCTGACTGTATGTATATGAGCCTTGGGGTTTTTTTATTTGCAATGATGACAGCAACAATTATTTCCTTCAACAGTTCCTTCCCAGATGGTTTTAGCTTTGTAGAATCCAAAGTAGTACCATGTTCTCTAAAATTCTGAGTTCTTTCAATAGCCCAAAGACAGTACAACTAGGGGCACAAAGGAATCATCATCTCTTGGTGAACATTTGCATGTGCTATTACCATTATTCATACATTCATTTCATCCAAAATTCATTAAGTATTTACTTCATGTCAAGCAGTGTGCTGGAATATAAAGTTTCTGATTTTATTATTTTTTATTTTATTATTTGTTTTTGTGAGGAAGATCAACCCTGAGCTAACATTCAATGCCAATCCTCCTTTTTTTTTTTTTTTTCCTGCTGAGGAAGGTTGGCCCTGAGCTAACATCCGTGCCCATCTCCCTCCACTTTATACGGGACGCCACCACAGCATGGCTTTGACAAGCAGTGCGTCAGTGTGGGATGCGAACCTGCAAACCCCGGGCTGCCAAAGCGAAGTGCACACACTTAACTGCCTGCGCCACCAGGCTGGCCCCCAAAAGTTTCTGATTTTAAATAACTTACTTTCTGATGGCAGAATTACTTATAAAATAACATAGGCAATATACTGGCAATAAACAAAAGTACTGTGGAAACACAATGGAATAAAAGACTACTTAAATTTTTTTTTATGTATAATGTCAGACAGACATGAAAGAGACAACCCTAACCAACTCACAAAACCCATCACTCAGCTTTGGTCATAGTCAACTCACTGTCAATCTTGTTTCTCTTCTAAACCCACTCATTAGCTACAAGACATCATATTATTTCATCCATAAAGATTTCAGCATATATATCTACCAGACAGGGACTCTTTCTTTAAACATAATATGAATCTGAATCTTGAAAACTGAGTAATTGTATAGCCCTGAGTAACCACTACCCAAAACAAGATATAGAACATTTCTATGGCCCAGAAAGTTCCCACATGCCCCTTTCTAGTCAATTTCCCACACCCAGAGAACCACTTTCTGATTTCTATTACCAAAGATCACTTTTGCCTGTTCTTGGACTTTTAGAAATGAAATCATAAAGTATAGATGAGTAAGAGGTTTCTAGGCCAAAAAAAGGAAAAAGCATTCCAAGTGGAAAGAACTATAAGTACAAAATTTAAAGGTATGGGAAGATATGTTCACAGAAGAGCTCAAGAGGGTTGAAAACTGGTTGGGAACTAACAGAAGACAAGACTGGAAGAAGAGGCCCATTGGAAAGCCAGAGTTTCCGGATTAAACTCCATAGTTAGTTCTGGGAACCAAGTTGTTAAATTAACTTTTCCCAATGCCCAAAACTATTTCTCTGACATAACAAGTGGTCAGTTCTCTCAACATGCTCCTTTCTCCTTAACCCTCCCACTCTGAGGGTGGCCAAGGCAGGAGCAGCATCCAATGCTCCATGGCTATTCACTGCCATCTTGTGCAGAAGCCTCCCTGCCACCTCAGCGAAGGCAACAAGCCCCCCTTGGCTTTCTTATGAGAAGGTACAGTCTCTCCCCCATTTTAAACAAGCAGTCTCTAGTCTGAGGGGCGGCCTTACCATTATCTGGATTTCTCTCTTGCACACCTGGAGATCATGCTCATTGTTGACAAACATGCGTTTCAAGGCACATTTCATTCCATTGCTTGTCCTCACCAGAAACACGATAGCAAATCCACCTGTGAGAGAAACACACATACAAGCTCTTTGAGTCATGTTCAAAAAATCAGTCAGGGGGGCCAGCCTGGTGGCGTAGTGGTTGAGTTCATATACCACACTTCCGCAGCCCAGGGTTCATGGGTTTGGATCCCTGGCGTGGACCTACACCACTCATCAAGCCCTGCTTGGTGGCGTCCCACATACAAAAAATAGAGGAAGATTGGCACAGATGTTAGCTCAGTGACAATCTTCCTCAAGCAAAAAGAGGAAGATCGGCAACAGATGTTAGCTCAGAGCCAATCTTCCTCACCCCAAAAAATCAGATGACTATGGTGGCTACAAGTTGCTGCTGTCACTGTTAATGGTAGTGATGCCATTGTCAGGTAGTCCTAGGGCTGGCCTGGCGTAGAAGGCATTCTTAGATTCTCAGGACTTAGAGGTATTACTTGTGGGATTGGGTGGCAAGAGTCAGAGAAATTATTAGTAAACACCTATCTCAGGAAAAAAGGAAGAAAAGTAATTATCTTCCAAAGAACCTACAAATAAACAGATGAATAAATAGATGAAAGAAAAAGAACCAACCATTGTACCCAACACTTCAAGCTCTTGTTTAATTCTTACTACAATCCTGTGAGGTTGGGTGTTATTTTTCCCTTTAAAGCAACAATTACTAGCTGAAGCATTCTAAAATGCTCTTAATTTGTTACACCTTGGCGTTCCACAAATCCTTTGAATTCCTAACCTCAACCTCACTCCCCAAACTCTGCACGAGGGGCTCAGTGCAATTGTTAATAGGGGTTATAGATAGATAAGGCAGAGCAAAGCTGTCAAAGTTGAAGGCTTTGGGATAAGCAGCAGTTATATTGGACACTTAGCCCATCTGCCTGCTTGTATACCTTCATAATTTAGCTTGAACTATCCTGTGCATTGACCATGGGTAGCAAAAAAAAATCACCAGGCTATTCTTTGCACAGAGGTGATCACTAATTGGATGGAGGTGAACACAGAGGGAAGTCGTCAGTACGGTAACTTGAGTTGAGGTTACAGTCTAGTATTGGGGCTAGTAGCCATATGCAAAATTGATATAGAGCAACAGCAGTGATTATAGACACCTCAGGCCTAAGATCGAAGACTTGGGTCCCGACTGTCACTCTAACTCCTCCGAGGCCCAGCGGCACTTCAGTATCTGTCTGTCAATGTTCATGGCACTTTCTGCTGTATCTTTACGATGTTCATGGCACTTTCTGCTGTATCTTTACAATTATTCTTTTTCAAGTCAGCTTGAGTAGGTTTCTGTTCCTTGCAACAAAGAGAGCTTTAATAATAAAGCACTGTTGCGTGTTTTCATAAAATACACACATAATTCTGTGTTAAAAAAATTTTTTAATGGGCTCAAGTGTTCCAAATGTGCATTTTAATAATGATTTACCAGAGACTGCATGTTTGTACATTTCCTGTCACTGTGTTCTTCTCCAGTATTCAGATAAACACTAAAATTTACCACACAATCTTTAATTTCAACTGTCTTCTCTCTAATCTTTGTACTTCAATAACATTTTCCATTTTCGTGTAATACTTTAAAGTCTACTTACACTGCTCAATTGTCAATTTTAATTCTAAAATTTGAGTATTTAACAACAACAACAAAATTTTTAAACCCTAGCACGCATTGACAAGTAGAGGTCTTATCACATGCAAAAAAGACTCCTCAATTCTAAGATGCATATTTTTTACATTTTAATTTTTAGGATATCAGGGCCGGCCCCGTGGCTTAGCGGTTAAGTGCGCACGCTCCGCTGCTGGCAGCCCAGGTTCGGATCCTGGGCGTGCACCAACGCACCGTTTCTCTGGCCATGCTGAGGCCACGTCCCACATACAGCAACTAGAAGGATGTGCAACTATGATGTACAACTATCTACTGGGGCTTTGGGGGAAAAAAATAAATAAATAAAAATTTAAAATTTTTAGGATGTCAGAATTTTTTTATAATAAATATGTACATTTAATGAATTACTATTTGTCTTCCTTTTTTCCCCCCAAAAGCTATTAAATTCATGATGTGTCTTATAACAATTAAAATTGGGGGAAGTGATAGTATAAATTATAAAATTTCTATATATATTTATAATTGCTTTGTGAACAGTCCAAGTGAGTATTTTATAGATATTTTGACTCAAAAAAGAAAATCATACAACTTTGCACCGGTAGTACTCCTAGAGAGCATTAAGGCCAAGCATTTTGCTTTATGTGTGGAGGAACCAAGTGAGGCTTAGGAATTCCCTGGCTAATTATAAGCAGAACCTGGAATGGTATCACTTTCCTGATTGTCCAAAAATGTTCTTTCCACTTCACTTGTCTTAGAGAAAACTATGCAATACCTCCGACAGTGCTAACAGTGCCAAGGCTATCCTTTCAGAAGCAGGTTGATGATACAGCAATTTGAGATAATGGCCACCAGATGGGAGCAGTATAGTTTTCTTTGCCAGGTAGCAAGATGATCTGTCCAGCCAGGACTGAAGAAATGGGTCAGATGCCTACCACATGATCCAGGCAAGCACAACTGGCTGAGAAGAGCCAGCCCAGATTCTCAAAGCCCATGACCATTAAAAATCTAAAGGCAAAGCAATGGACCACCATGCCTAACACAGACAGAACCACGTTATTAAGCATCTATGCCCACAAGGGCTTATCTGCAGGTAGAAGCTTTAAATTAGGTTCCTTGACCATAAGATCAAAATCGAAGCCTGATAGGATTTGTCAATTTAAAGACGTTGGCCACTATCACTGTGTAGTTGACCAAATGGAGACGTAAATCACTAGGTTAGAAAGTAGAGAGAAGACAGCACTACTCAAGGTACTTCTCCAGCACAAGTCCACCACATGGATCAGAATAATACGATTCTCAGCCACAGCTAAACAGGACTCAGGCTATTACAGAAGAAGGCAGCAATGAGACTGTCAATAGAGATGCTTATTTCAGATTGAGTTGTATCCCGAGATCTTGATTGAATGGAAAAATCTAAAGCTGAGTTGAGGATAGATTGGATAGAGGCAAGAAAAGCTAACATTCAGTGGAGCCTGTGCTAGTCTCTCTGCCTACTGGCATTTTTTGAAATGATAAGATAATCTCCATGATTTTATTGGAATGCATTTTGGGGGAAAATCCATGAATTTATTGAATCACAAAGGGAAAAAGGATCCGATCATTATGTGAGGTAAGCAAGTGAAATAGACAGGATAATTTTGACACATATACCCGTTTGCTTAGTAATTATGTAGGACTATTTTTTTACTTCCATAAAGAAACACGCTTTCTCTCACATTCCCTAAAATAGATCACACTCTTGGTCTAATTTTCTCCTAATTTTTGATGATGTGGATGGGTACTTACCACTCACTATGAGTTTAGAGATTTTGTCTTTTTGGTTCCCCTCTTTATCCTCATGCCCTAGAATAGTGCCTACACATCATTCGCACTCAAAAATGAATTAACTTTCCTTTAATGTTATCATAGAGAACAGAAAGGGCTACAGCGATGGAGACTGTGGGAAACCAAAGCATATGGCCCATGGAAAGGAACAGCTACTATACAACTCCAGGTAACTGCTGCCACGTAGGAATATAGACCTAGTTTTGTCAGATCTGCTAATTTCTAAAAATAAGCCAGAAATCTAAAACTTTATGTGAAATTTCTAGATTTAAACACTGGCAACAAGTCATACTTTAAATTAACGCTGGACAGGCCAACACTGTAGAGGCTAAAGAAAACACATCTGAAAGGCTTTAGAGAGTCTCTGAGCCTACAGTTTTCTACCTCAGATCTAGTGTAACCACATCGTTTTAGTGATGGCCAGAGAGGGAAAGTGACACAGCCAGTATTACACAAAGTTAAAAGATGACATGCAAATAAAATCCAAAAAATATATATTAGCTCATACATTGTTTATCATAGTTCTTGTCTTTCTTCCCTGAAGAGGAATTTATGGAATATTCCCCCCAGCATTTGTGTATGACTTTATACTTTTTTAAAGGCATTTCAAAATAAACTATTTCATTTATATTTTCACAATAACTGAATGAGGTAGGTGAGCTACCTATTGTCTCCATTTTCCCAATAGGAAAAAGATGTAGAGAGATTAAGCTCCTTTCACAAAAATACAAAGAGCTAGTTAGTGGTAGAGCTCAGACTAGATCCCTCATCTTTTTAAATCTTTCTTTTTAAATCAACTTTATATATAATACAATGCACTCTTTTAAGTGTACAGTTTGATACATTTTCACGACTATACTGTCATGGACTGTACAATGACATTTCGGTCAACAACGGACCATATATATGACGCTGGTCCCATAAGATTAGTACCATATAGCTTAGGTATATAGTAGGCTATACCATCTAGGTTCTTGTAAGTACACCCTATGATGTTTATGCAATAAAATTGCCTAATGATACACTTCTCAGAACATATCCCCGTCATTAAGTGACATGTGACTATATACACTCTTGTAACCATCACCACAATCAATCCATCATTTCAAACAGTTCCTCATCCCTCTTTGTAAGCATCTCCCCTCTCTCCCACACCATCTTATGTAACTTCTGACCTGCTTTCTACCCTATAGATTAGTTTTGCTTGCTCTAGAATAAATGGAATCATACAAGAGTATGTACTCTTGTGTCTGGCTTCTTTCATTCAGCATATTTCTGAGATGCATCCTCATTGTTACATTTATTAGCAGTTTGGTTTTTTTAAATTGCAAACTAGTATTCCATCATATAGATATTCCACAATTAGTTTATCCATTCACCTGCTGAAGGACATTTAAATTGTTTCTAGCTTTTGGCTATTATTATAAATAAAATGTTCACATGGAAGTCCTTTTTTGTGGACATAGGTATTTATTTCCCTTAGGTAAATACCTAGGATTGGAATTGCTGAATCAATGTTAAGTGTATATTCAGATTTACAAGAAACTGCTAAATAGTTCTCCCCAGTGGTTGTACCATTTCACACTCCCA